CACCACAACACATGCCTCTGGCTTATGCTTGAGATCTTCCACGTAAAAGTTTTCCTTACAAGCAAACAGGGCTGAGGAGATAGCAAAAAAAAAATTGCTTTGCAAGCTTGAGAACTTATGTCAGTCTCTAGAACTGACATATTTAAAAAAAACAAAGCAACAAAAACAGGAAAGAGTACCTACTTCACAAGCTTAGCCTAGTCTAACAAATGAGAAATGCTATAGTTACATATGATGATTACTAGGCTTTTCTTCTGTAATAAGATAGTTTACAAGTAAACAGTGCTTCAACTGTCATTTCATTTTCTCCAAAGGAAAAACTATACCAATTGAGAACATTTGGATTGTTCAATAAATGATGGACTGTGAAGTAATATTTTTGTACTCTACTCATTTCACACATATTATTTAAATAAAATCCCATCAGGAGCTGGAGAGATGGTTCAGCAGTGAAGAGCACTTGCTCCTTTTCCAGAAGACTGTGGCTTGTTTCTCAGCATCTACATGGTGGCACACAGCCATCTGGAACTCCAGTTCAGGGGATCCAGTGCCTGTTCTGGCCTCTGAGGTCACCAGGCATGTATGCAATGCACTTAAACAAATGCAGGCAAAACACTCACACACATAAAATTAAAACGACTAATGAAATAATTATTAATTAATGAAATAAAAACCCATCAGAGCGACAGACCTTTGGAAGAAAGAAATACGGGTATCTTCTTGCTAGCAAGAGACTCAACCATCTGAGTACCAAAGAGAAGCCAGCAAATGGAACGGGTATGACTGAGTCTTATTAAATACACAGCAAATTTCTACCAGTGGTGAAAAGTCCCAATCTGACTCTAGGATGGCTAAGACAGTCATTGTTTTTTTTTGCTATGTGGCCGGCCCAACGCTTCCTAGAGTTTGACAATGAACATGTAATCTTCGCAGTAATAATACAATTGGGGATTTTAGTTCTGCCCCTGAAACATCTCTTTGCAGTTTTTAAGGAGAACCACTAATAAGGAGCTTCTCAAAGATGATGAACATAGTGCTCATAGTCAGGTCATCCCCCTAAGAGAAATCTGATGGGCATCAGAGTGGTATATGACAGGGCTAAAGGCTGGTGGAACCTCAGGACCACCAGCTGGTTCTTAGAATTTGCGGAGCAAAGCAAAGGCGGGTTCTGCTCTTCAGCTCAGGAGACTCCTTTCCTACTTAAGTGAACTTCAATGCCAGGAAATGTCACATGACAACCAGTCTGGAAATCTAGGTTTCCCTCATGCCCCCTGTATCAAGTTTCCATCTGGTATGTGGTCTTGCCAGCCCGGCCAGTCTCTTTAGAAAGCACAGTTGAGTTCAGCAATGCTGAAAACCACACTGGGGACCCTGTCAGGGTTCAGAAATCCTCAGAACTGCTGATGTGCAAAATCTGGCTTTCACCACTGGACCTTGACTACCCTTCCACCTTAAACCCTGCTCCCCGACCTGCAGCCGCCCCACCTTCTTCTACCTCAGGGCCTCCATACTTTCTACTCTGGACTTCAGGAATAGCAACAGGGGACTATGGCCAGCTTCTGCCAGAGCTCTGCTCAAATGTCACAACAGTAAAGAGCCCTGCTTTAACTCTCAACCCCAATACAACCTTCATACCCCTCAAGATTTTGTTTTTTATTTATTTGAATATTACATTTAAAAAATTACCAGTATTAACCATTACCAGAACTTTAATTTTTACATACAGAAAGTCTGGGTTCATTAATCCAACTTCCCCTTCCTTTAGCCCCTGAGATGTTACCAGTCTACACTCTGGCCCTGTAAATCTGACTACTCATATGGGACTTCCTACTATGACAATCATACACGATACATCTGGTGATGGCTGCCTTTTTTCAGTTAGCATAATGGTTTCGTGGTCTGAATACACTGTGAAAAGAGTTTCTTCCTTTTCTGGGCTGAGTTTGCTGCACACATAAACAGTACTTTGTTTTTCATTCATATATTAATAGACACTTTGGGGTTTTGTTTCTGCCTCTTGGCTAACATGAGTAAGGCAACTTTCAACGTAAAACAAACTGTGTAAGTCCTTCCTTTGAATTCTTCAGATACCTAAAAATGGAAATGTCAAATTATATGATAAATCTGTTTCATATTTTCAGGAGCTACCATACTATTCTGCCTAAGAGCTACCTCTCACATTCCCGCCAATGATACACAAGGGTTTCGATGTCTCCCAATCTTGCCCACACTTATTCTCTGCTCATCTTCTCCTTGCTTGATTTTCCCCCAAGCACTTAGCACCTGCCATACTATAATACTTACTTGCTTTTTTACATTGACTGCTTCCCACAAGCTAGGACTTAAACCTCTGAGGAACACACTTGATTGCTTATGGCTATACCCCAAGCACCTAGAACACAGCTGGTACATAGCAGGTACTCAAGAAATCTGCTGAATAAGGAATACAGAACACTTGAATCATAACAATTCTAACAAGGGTAACAGTCTGTTACATACATTGATCACACCAACTGCCTCCAATTGTGCCCAGTCTAGGGAATCTCATGGTTTAACAGGTGATGGCTTTAGGAGTTTATTCAGCTCTTTCCTCAATAGCAATCATCTCAGAACCACAGACACTACCACAACTAGAAAGTTATAAAAACAATGTCATTCATACCATTGACTTCAAGCCTAATAGAATTCATCAAACTTCAACAGCAAAAAAGAAAAGAGCTAACACAACTGCATACAATTCTAGTTATCAGAAATCTGCAAATCCAATGCATTTGATTTAAAAAAGATCAAACCAATAGCAGACAAGACAGGGCACTGTCCTTGTGTAGATTCCTTAACTAGAAATATCCAAGGACAGCTTGACCTAGAAACCTAACTCCAGGCCTGCTTTTATTTTGGTGGATTTTTTTCCTGTTGTTCATATTTGGTATCTGTTGTTTCATTTGGTTTGTTTTTAAAGAGCTGTTTGTATTTTAAAAAAAAAGTCAAACTAAAATTCCATGAGATCATTATTAGCTAAAAAGCCATGTGGATTTTTCTCAACTCAGTCCCTAGCACTCTGGTCCCAGAGTGTCCACAGTCTGGTGTTTTGCAGCTGAAAACACTTTGAGGGCAAAGTCAGCAGATCTTTCTTGTGGTGTTTAACCTATTTCTCTTCTAAGAAACCACTGCACCTCACATTCTTCAAGGAAGGCTGGCAAAAAGAACCACCTTGTTTGAATGGATGGTTAACACACCTAAGACTTTCATGGAGAGACCAGAATGATTCATTTGGAACATAAAGAACTTTCCCTGCTTGATTTAGAAGGAACTCTTGATGGTATTTTCTGTTCTGATTTGATTTAGTCAAGGAGCAGATTGTACTTTCAATGCACACACTCACAACAAGTACACATCAATACAACTGATAGAAATGAAGAATTCATAATCTCAAAAAAAGAAAGAAATGAAGAGGAAAAGCATTGCTACCAGGCAAATCAGGCCACAGGACAAGCTACCAACATTCCACAGATTGAACTAAAGCAGTTTCCAATTATTCCGGCAGAGACACACCTGACTCTTTCAACCTGTTGTGATGCCTTGATGTAAATGACCAAAATAACTTCAAATATGAAAAAGGCCTAAATCAAGCATCTCTCTCCCCAGCACTCCACAAACTTAAGCACAAATGGTACACATTAAGGCCTGAGCTGTATGTCATTTTCTTTGCTCATAACTAAAGCCTTCTGTGAGACACAGCTCTGAACCTGGCTTACTACAACCTAATGGGGCAGTCTCATTATTTTTAGGCATCAGGTAGAGAAGAGTCTGTGGACCAGTTGTCCCTTGTCTGCAACATACTCCAAAGAAAGGACTGACCCTAATCTTTGGTCAACACTAGTCCACAGAAGAACTAACCTTCCCATCCAAAAGCTTCCCGCTCCACCAGCACCCCTGAGGATCTTATCAACAGGAAACAAAAGCATTATACTACCATAATGAAGTATCTGGCTTTTATTCCCTAATTAGAAAAGCCCCAAGATTGTAGCCCAGGGAACAGCTAAATATTTAGGACATTAAAGAAGTTACCAAGAACCAGCTGCCCACAGCTCCCCCACCCCATTAACCTGTTGTTTACTTGGTTCACAAACATTCACAAGAAAAAAACTTGATGGACAAACCTGTAACCATGGGGGTGCCTGTGCACCTACAGAGGCTCTACTTTCTAGAAATGGAGTGTGACCACTTTAGGGGGTAAAAAATAAAAATAAAAACAGGAGCCACTATCTAGACAGAGAAACGTGCCCTCAGCTCCTCTTCCAAAAGCAGATATCAAAACAAGAGGAGCACTCTGGTTCCTTGACAGTCAGGTGGTTCCAGTCAAATCCTGGAAGCTACTGTGTTATCCTTTAAGCTCTAACTTCCCTTTATGAAGTTCTCATTCTTCTATTTGCCACTTTCATTTTTTGCAGTCCAGCCCACTGACTACGTGCATGTCCACAAGGGGAAAGAACAAAGTGGCTGTGTAAAAGGGAGGAGTATTTCACTTTTGCTTAAAGACCTTGGCAGAGCAAAAGGTCTGCATCGTTTAGAATTTATTTTATGAGCATGCCTCTCTGGCCACAGTCCCATTTTACT